TCTGGTGATGGCCCCAGCCACAGAAGCCAGGGAGGGGCAGCTGGACGGACAACAGCAGGGCCACCGTAGCAGAAAGTAGCCAGGAAGGGAGAAGACCCGGAGGGAAACTTGTGCTCAGCTTGGGATCCACTGAGACCCACGAGAAAGAGGTGCAGGAAGGGGCTGGAGAAGAGGACGTGAGGCCCTCAGCAGAGAGAAGCCTGCCCGGCCCCACATGCCCTGCCCCGCCCCCCACCCGTGGCCCACCACAGCCAAGCCAGAACCCCATCCACCCCGCCCGAGCCAGACCCCCCACTCACCCTGCCTAGACCCCCATCGTGAGGACCACTCTGTCACCAGAACCACTGCCCACCCGAGAACCTGGCACCCGACAAAGGAAAGCCAAGCCCCAGTAAACGGCCCCAAAAGGAGCCGAACCCAGACACCAGGCTCAGGGGAGAGCAGGGGGTGCTGAGGACGGCGTGGGGACCCCAGACTGATGCAGGGACGGCTGTGAAGGAGAGCTCTGTGCAGCGTGGTCATCGCTTAGAAAAACGCACGTTTAGCAAACACCAAGAGCTCGGCTGCTAACCAAAAGGTCGGCAGTTTGACTCCACCAGCTGCTCCTTGGAAACCCTATGGGGCAGTTCTACTCTGTCCTGTAGGGTCGCTCGGAGTTGGAATTGGACTCGGTGGCAACGGGTTTGGGTTGGTTCTTTTGGTCTCCTGTGTGTAAGACCTCATGCCCGTTGGTTGTTGGGACACAGTGGGTACAACCCCGCGGAATCAGGGTTATGCTTTGACTCGGGAACACAAACAACGTGGGGGCAGCGATGGATACAGTCTCTAGACAGAAACCAGCGTTAGGGAAAACGTGGAGGTGGGGAGACAACGCATTACAGGCGGGCTCGGGGTCCCTGACAGGGGGCCCCTGCGGCCCACCCGGTACCAAGGGGCTCAGAGTGTCAGGGACACACGCCAACACAGCCACCGTGCTCTCTTGTGGGCCGCCGCGGCAGGCCATCATGCAGTCCCCAAGCTCTCTGGGAACACAACGCTGCAGGGCCCTGTCCACGCAATCGCCATCCCTCCTCCTCCCTCCCTCCCACCCGCTCCCAGCAGCTCTCGTCAATGCTGAGCCCCCAAGGGCCCAGAGAGGGAGACAAGGCCGTGGCCAGGGGCCCGCCCCCACTAACCCGGTACCTCCTGGGCAGGGAGCATGTAAACCACAGTGCACTTTCCCGGTGGCCTGACACCGGAGTGGGGATGCTCAGGGGCCGAGGCACCCGGAGGCAACTGCCCTCATCAAGGGGTCCAGCCGACAGTCACACAGGAGCGGCTGCTGCCCCGAGGCAGGACGCCTCCCAGGCGCAGTAGGTGCCGGCACCCGGCATGGCGCCAACCGGACCCCCACCCAGCGACACACCCTGACGCCGGTCAAGACTCGATGCAGGGCATCCACGAGAACAGACGTGGCCCCCGTGCCCAGAGTCCCCAATGAGGCCTGCACAGTGAAGACCCAAGATGCCAGCTGCGGGTCGCAGGGTGGAATCTCTGCTGCTCTGAGAACACTCCCCAAACCACAGCTCTGTGTCTGGAAGCCAAGAAAACGATCACCACCCCCAGGAAGGGCTCCAAGTCTATGGAAGCCCAGAACCACAGGCAGCCGCCAGGTGCAGGGTGGCACCAATGACTCAGGTGTTTGTGAGCGAGGACACCACGCTCCCACACCTGCCTGAGGAACAGGCCCAACCGGCCTCCACCATGCACGCGCGGCTGCCGCTGAGGGAGGTGACAGGCGGCACCACAACCGCGCCATCTCCTGCCCCTGGGTGAGAAGGGCTGGGCTTGAGAACTCATGGGCGTTTCCGGCAGCCCCGATGGCATGAGGGCCAGGCGGTGCCAGGGTGAGACATGAGACCATCTGCCATGAACAGAGCTCTGGGTTTGACTGCCCAGCTCTCTCCTGGCATTTCCCGTTCCTTCCCAGCCTCCCCCTGGTCCACACAGCTTTCTGCTCAGACCAGCCTAAGGGGGAGAAATGTGACTCCTGTCTTCTAAGGCGGAGAGACCAGGATGGCACTCTAACAGGGGGAGGGAGAAATAAATACCTATGTGTCTTTTACGGAGCCCCGCATGGTACAAACAGTGAACGCAATCAGCTGCTAACTGAAAGGTTGGTGGTTCGAGTCCACCCAGAGGCACCTCAGAAGAAAGGCCTGGCAGTCTACTTCCAAAAACTCAGCCACTGAAAATCCTATGGAGCGCAGTTCAGCTCTGACACACGTGGGGTCACCGTGAGTTGGGTCAATGCGATGGCAACTGGTTCGGTTTTGTACCTTTTATAAGACCAGAAAACGAACCCCCAAGTATTACAACTCCAGCAAAGAAGAACAAACCCACTCGGTGCCGGATTCTGGAAGCGAGGTTGTCCCAGAGCTCTAAGGAGCCCCAGCGCTCTCTCTGTGGAACCCAGGAAGTGCAAAAGTACTGTCACACCTGCTGACTTCGCCTGACAAAGGGCGCTGGCCTGTCCACGAGGCCCATCCTGGTGCTGTGCTCACTGGACCGTGATGACCCCAGGAACAAGGCATGTTCCTGCGGCCAGCACCCTGCCGTCTCCGCTTGGTGCTTGGGAGACGTGTGCAGGGCAGGCGGGGGTGACAGGTCCTAATGACACCAAGTCTCTAAGAGGGGCTGCTCCACCGTTCCCAGGGACAGGCTCTCCTGCTGGACCGGTCACGTGAGTGACCACCCGCTCTCAGGAAGGTGTCCACATTTCACATAGGACTGTCCCCACTGTGGGTGGTGTGTCACAGGAAGTGTGGCAACGTGTGGAGGCCCAGCAGAGGGGACGAAGGAGACGGCAGTACCACCTCCTCACCAGTGGCTGCTGATGCTGCAGTATCACTGGGGAGAGGGGGAGCGGGGGCAACACCCACCCTCGGAAGAGTACATTAATGTCTCAGGACGACTCTGCCAACTCTGCCGAACCCCAGCCCCTTCCTACTACCTTCTGAGCACACCCACCATCCACCCCGCGGGAGCCGGGTACGAGGAGGCATGCTGTTTCTGGGAAAACAGCCTGCCACCTTCCACGGCAGGGTTGGGGGCACGGTCTGGGGAGAGAGGGCGAGCCTGCTGCCAGTCTCAGTGGGGAGGGCAGCAGCCGAGGATGGCACAAAGGCCTGGCAGAGGTTCTCACACGTCCCTCCGCCCCCTAAACCGACCCCAGGGCTCTGCTCTCGTGCCCTTCAGGACACCTCCTGTAGGCTGAGCTGCGAGCACGTGCTCAGGACATGGCCGAAGTGAGCCTGGCACTTCTCCGATGCCAAGCCTGTTCCAGGAAGAAGGGATGTCGGCGTCAGTCCATCAGTCCTACACCCTGATGAGCCCTGCAGCAAAAGAGCAGGACGAGCAGGCTCCACACTGTCCCGGAGGCCAGCCAACACTCAGAGCAGTCAGACAGGACGGATGAGGGCCTCACACACCCAGCAAGGAGGAGTGTGGAAGACAGGGCCAAGAAAAGTGAAATCAGTGGGTAAAACCGCACTTCTGGAAACACACGAAGGTCCATGGAGAGACTGGCCCACACACACGTGGGCTCAGTGAGTCTGAGTGCAGGGGCACCCTCGTGGCCTGGGGAAGGGCTGGTCGCAGTGGCGGTGCTGACCATGCCACCGCAGACCATGCAAACTACGCTACCACGCAGGACCCCACATTCGCAGGTGAGCTAGGCAAGTGCCCGTAACACGATCCCTGTGTGTGTGTGTGTGCGTGTGTGTGCGTGCATGTGTGTGTGTGCGTTTGTGTGTGCGTGTGTTTGCGTGTGCGTGTGTGTGCATTTGTGTGTGCGTGTGCGTGTGTGTGTGTGTGTGTGAGCCACACACGGGATACCCAAAAACGACATTCAATAACGTTTCTACCAGGTGTCTTCCACAAGCACGGCATGTCAACTCCCTGAGCACCATGTAAACACCACAAGGACGGCTTGCCTGTGCAGACCCCATGTGGATGCACCCACACAACGGGGGCGGGGAGGGGGGGCCCTAAATACACAGGCCATACACGCCACAGGCTCTCGTTATCAAAACCCAGGCCACTATGAGACCCCCACCAATGGATGCGCCACCCTCAGCTACATCCTGGTCCCCAGTGACCCTTTCCTCACACACCTCCCGGTCCACTACCCCAGGGCACCAGCTTCACCTGCCCACCCCAACCCAAACTGCTCAGACTTGATGGCAGGGATGAAAGCCCTTCTCTCTCCAGCAGCGCAGCGTCGAACGTGAGCGGTTAGTCTCTAAAGAGGCCTCGGGCTGGCACTGAGAGTACCAAGCTGACAGTATGCTCCGGATCGGTCGCTTCCTTCAAGCCCCAGGACCTCCGTTTGAGTTGGAAACGATGGGAGAGAAAACAGATTGCAAATTGCCACAGGCCCGCTCCCTTGGAGGAGAGGAAGAAAAGGCGCAGGCGGCGCTGATACTTGGCTCTTAATTGTAGCCTAACCACGCCAGAGCCAATGGGTGGCTGTCATCGTTCTTATTATCCGCCCTGGCTCCATGGGGGGTGACAGCGCAGCCCGTGCCCGCACACAAGCCTACAAGCCAACGCGCTCCGTGCGAGGCAACGCCTCTGGGGATTCCGGCTGGGGTCTGGGCCAGCGCTGATGGATGGCGTGAACCCTGCCCCTTCCTGCCCCAGTGCAAGCCTGCAGGCAGACAGCCCGGAATAAAAGGCCGTCCTCCCAGGGAGAGCCTGGGCAGCGCGCCGCTCCGGGGCAGCCTTCTCGGGCTGGCGGAGCTGGCTCCCAGGCCCGCGTCTGGGAGAGACAGGGTTAAAGAGGCGCTGACAAAGGCCCTGCTAATTCGAGTCCCTGAGAGCCGGGGCTTCCTGGATGGCTCCGCAGCAGAGCCGACCGCAGGCGTGCACACGCACAGCGCGAGGACGGCACAGGCTGAGCCGGGGCCAGGCCGCCGGACGCACGGACAGCGGGAGCACGGCAGGGGCGGCGGCCTTACCGTTGCTGTAGGCGTAGGGCGACTCGGAGGCGCCGTCCTGCAGGCTCTCGAGGATCTCGCCCTTGCCCACGTCGCTGTCGCCCACCAGCAGGAACTTGAGCAGGTAGTCGTAGCTCTTCACCGGGCTGCCCTGCGTCCCCATCCTCCTCTCATCGGCGCGCGGGCCCGGACCGCATGCTCCGCGGACGGACCCGGGCGGACGGGCGGACGGACAGAGGGCGGACGGACAGAGGGCGGACGGAGCGAGGAGGGCTCGCGCCCGGCCTTCCCGGGAGCCGCTGCGACCTGGCGGCGGGAGGCGCCGATGAGCGGGGCCCCG